GGTTCCCACCCTTCCGGAAGCACCAACTTCCGCAACCGAATCAACCACCATACCTACCAGCCGACCGAAGTCCGGAAAGAGACCTATCCACTTAACCCAAAACATGCACCGGCGTCGTCAGCCGTCCGTCCGTTCGTCCGTCCACAGCATTGTCCACGAAGGAAACTCATTTTCACACACGCACAATGTGTCCAAAAAAATAAAATCGGTATCAGATTACCACCATCATCGTCGTGTTGTGTACAAAACCGAACCCTCATCGATTGGTTCGGGGGAAAAAGAAGTGAGCAGTTTAGGAAAAGTTCATTAAAAATAAATTATCATTTTTCCGGCCGTCGTTCGGTGTCGGGCAGAGAGCCGCCGGATTTGACCGTTGGCGTCCGGTTGCATTGTTCGAGCCATCAGAAACTAAAATGTGATTGATAAAAAACGATTGGAAATTTTCTGGAAAAATGAAATTGCACCCTCCCTTTGCTTTCTCCGGCCGTTCTACGATTTATTGTTTGCCTTGGACAAATCACGTGGCCATTGTTGTTTTGATAATTGAAAAGAGGTCGATTGGTCTGGGAAGGATTTGGACACTGTCGATTTTTTTTTTTTCAAAATAAACGCAGAGCGTGTGAGGTCGGAAATTTAAATTTCAAATATAGGCCCATTTTCTGTTAACTTTTTGAGAAGATTTATAGCTTCACACAGCGGGAAAAACGAATAAATGGTAATGATATTCAAAGCAGCCCGGCGAATTTATTGGTCATCTAATAATTTTCCAGCTATTCGTCCCTAATCGAGTGTCTTTATCTGTCACCCAAGGAGCGACGCAATTCACCATCCATCAAATTTATCGGTTCCACATATTAGTACGGTCCTATCTCGGTCCGTGGCAATTACCCATCCGCGTAAAAAAAAAAAACAGGACTACAGCCAGGAGCAAACTCAATCTAGTTATTTACGATAATGTCCGTTTTATTGTTATTCGACGCTCACAAATTGCAACTCTGACGGCTTCTAACAAATAAAATAAAACGCACAAACAGTGTCATATTTTGTCCTGTTGCTCATTTGAAATTCAAAACCGCTGCTGGCCGACCGAGGCCGAGTGTGTCCTTTTCTAGTTCCCCCGTAAAAAATGAGCACATTCACACCGTCGTCGTCGTCGCAGTTGTTTGGTCCCAGTGCGGAAACGGTAAACCGATCTTCCGAAAAACCTCAATACAATTAATTTTCACGGTCTCTTACACTCTCTTCGCACCTTTATTCGGACCGGTGTCCCTCTCTTCCAAAAAAATAAATAGGAACTAGGAACCGCAATTCATCACTTCCACTTGGAGCACCCTTTCTTGCTTTCTTAATGTGTCGCCGCCGTGTCGGGGAAAAAGGAGCAACCTCTAAAACAATTAACTACATGTTGATTACAATGTTAACATGTTAATTACGTCCGACTTAGGTTGCAATGATCACGGCGGCAACGAGCGATGATGAGAAGCGGAAATAAATTTCACGTTTTTCCACGAGTGCGCGCCGCTCCTAATGACCACGAGGGGTAGAAGAGGCCCCTGCCCGGTATAATTCGCCGGCCTAGGCCAATAAATTACCCAACTTCTATGCAAATGAGGTTGGTTTATTTCTTTTAATTACTGGAAATCCCGGGACCGGACCACGAATTCTCCATGGGCTTTTTTGTCGGTCTGTTAGGAAGGGACACTCAGGACAAAGTAAGTTGTCCTTTTCCCAGTGCATGGGGATTCACGATGGTAGGGAAATTGGAATCTTATTTTGATTTAATGTTATGGGATATCTCTCCGGCTGCTTGGGCTTGGCAGGAACTTGGGTTGGTGAAGGGTTCTCTGCTATTGTTAAGAAGGAATAAAGAGTTCTAATAGGAGCTCAAATGAGCTGCTAATAGATTCTCTTTGTTTGGATTTTGCATGGATTTTGGGTTTTTTTTAACACCGCATGGTCCTGTCAATACTCTCGAATGACTCCTCCTGTGTGGAAACTAGGTTTTGTCCACAGTCCACATCGTGCTCTCTTGTCATGCGGATCTATCTGCTTTTTGCTGAAGGAAGTGTTAGGGCTACCTAAAGCTACAACAAAGTTAAACAGAACTTTTCAGTACTCAATATTACCAGAATTTTGTTTAGAGGTAGTCCTGCATGCATAGACATAGCGGGTCACGGAACTCGTCGGCAATTTTGAAAATAAAGCCCAATTGTCGATTAGCTCTGGAGATGATGTTATTGTAGTGGATTCTGAAAGTGAGTTTGCAGTCCAAGGTAACGCCGAGATCCTTTATGTGTTCTACATGAGCAAGACAGCGCCCGTAGAGAACATGGTCAAACATGATTGGTTCGATTTTACGGTGATGGGAAAAAATGTTACATTTTTCGATGCTTAGACTCATCAAATTTCTTGAGCACCAGTCAGCAAAAATACCTAACATATTCTGGAGATCCCAACATTCCGAGAGACTTTTAATAATTTTGTAGAAAACAGCAGCGGTCCTAGGTTACTGCCTTGCGGAACTCCCGAGTTGTTTGAGAAAACATCCGATTCCGACGCGCCAATGTTAACCAATACACAGCCGTTGACGAGACGCCAAATATCTCCAGCTTGGCAAGCAAGATATTATGGTCCACCGTGTCAAATGCAGCTCTTAGATCCATATACGCAGCATCGACTTGCCATCCTGAATCCATGCATCGCAAACAGTGAGAAGTAAACTGCACCAGGTTCGTGGACACGGAGCGCTTCGGGTAAAAGCCGCGTTGTTCTGTAACGATATAATTTTTGCAATACGCGAACAGAGCATCATTTATGATAATCTCGAACAGCTTTGAGCAGGCACACAGGGAGGTCACTTTCGAGTGATCGGGCTACGGTTGTATATCAACACGCGCGAGTTGCTCAAATAGGAATTGATCTTTTTGCTTAGTAGCACTGACTAATAATACCACGGTCACGTGATTGTATTCGGTGGTGCTTTCTCAGCTAAAGTGAATTTTTCGTGCAATTCCAAACGAAAGTGTTGTAAAGTGATAAACATTTAGTGCGAATATCACGCGGTGGCTGCAAAAATAACGTCACCAATACACACATCGTTGTGATAGTGCCCATTGAGGAGCGAACTGAACAGTGTGTCACGAGCGGTAGTGTGAACTGAAAAGTGTCGAAAATCGGTTCCCGTTTGTTGGTCGCGAAAAATCGTCAAAGTGAAGTGAATTTGTAAAAGTGTCACTGAGCTCCGGTCAAATGACCGGCAGCTCAACCACCCCACCCGGGGTCCCTCCAGACCCAGGCGAGGGAAGAATTCCTGAATGGATGAGGGGTGAAGATGAGATGGGCCAAACTATGGTTCTAGTGTTGCAGCGGAAAATTAACGATCCTGAGCAGAATTAGGAATCTCGTCTCCCTGATCCCTTAATCGTAGGAGCAAACACCAGTTGAAGTGGCAATCGGTGTAAAGGAAGCCAAAACCGTGAAAGCTATGTGGAAATGCAATGCACATAGCTTCGCATTGGCAAACCCCCCGTATAATCTCTACATATGTTGTGAATCTTGGCAGCCCTGGTGTAGAGAATATTATAACCACTCTGTTCATTACCGCTTTCAGACGCGTGCATTTTGTATTCTTTTATTTTACAAGCGAAATAAAACGTGTTCTTTCTTCTTTTGTACTCAGTAAATTGTATCGCGTGTTTTTTTATCTTGCTTGTACCGAATTTCCTGTCGTACGCTTGATCTGCTGCTCCCTACGCCTCCGTCAGGTTATGGGCCCAGGTTCCGAAGGAAAAGGGGATTGTTCGGTAAGCGAGTGAAATCTTCCGGACGGGTCGATTTTTGCAGTGTTCCGCCCCGTGTGAGGGCGAAGAGAACTGAACGCGAGTGGTGCTTCTTCCAGGAGAAGAAGAAAGAGAGGAAAAGTGTTCCAAGCAAGTGAAGCTTGAAGACAGAGACAACGATAGTGTTTTTTTTTTGTCGAAACTTCTTCGTGACGAAAAAGTGAATCGCGAGTGCCAAAAATGTCGGATGCAAAGTTTGCTATTCCAAAACTGTCCGGTACAAACTGGCAATCATGGACGATTCGTCTTGAAATGCTTTTGAGCCGCGAAAATTTGTGGTATGTGGTGTCGGATGATGTGCCTGCAGTTCTTGATCGTGACGAAGGTTGGGACAATGATAATCGCAAAGCGAAAGCAACAATTGTGCTGCTCCTAGAGGACAGCCAGTTGCCTCTTGTAAAGAGATGTACCCATGCTCGGGATGCGTTGGTTGCTCTTCGTAGCTATCACGAGAGAACGTCGCGATCGGTCCGAGTTTCGCTTCTCAAGAAGTTGTGCGCGATAAATCTCGTCGAACGTGGAAATATGGAGCAGCATCTGCTCGACGTAGATGATTTGTTTGACCGGTTGGAGGCCGCGAGAATGGAACTCGATAAGGACACGAAAGTGTGTATGCTCTTGCGTAGCCTTCCTCCGTCGTTCGATAGCCTGGTGTCGGCTCTGGACAGTCGGCCAGATGATGACGTTACACTTGAAGTGGTTAAAGCGAAATTGGCGGATGAATACGGTCGCCGATTGGAACGCGACGCGAGTGGTTCGAAGCCGGAAAAAGCGATGCGGTCGGAAGTGAAAAACGAAACGCGTACGTGTCATTTCTGCAAAATGCCCGGGCACCTCCGGCGCAATTGCAGAAAGTATAAAGCCTTGGTGAAGAACGATGACAATGACTCGAGAGGTAAGAAGTACGAATATGGAAAAGCCAAAGCGGCGCACAGTGAAGTGAAACACGTAGCGTTTACGGTCGGTAGTGACTCTCGATCGTGGATTGTGAACAGTGGGACAAGTGCCCACATGACAAGTGACAAATCCTTCTTCTCGGAATTGAACGAGTTCGCGGGCGGTTGGATTACGATGGCCGATGGACAGAAAACGCAAATCCTCGGTGAAGGTCACGGCGTGTTGTACGGGTATGACGATTGTTAGAACGTGATTCGTATTGACATGAGTGACGTTAAGTTCGTACCGGGACTCGCGACTAGTCTGATTTCGGTCGGTAAACTAGTGCAGAAGAACTTAAGTGTGTGTTTCGGTAAGGAAGACTGCAAAATCGTCGATTCGAAAGGTGATACGGTGGTTACCGGAGCACGAGATGGAGGGCTGTACCGTCTGCGTGCAGCTGGGGCTGCCATGAAGGCAACCGAAAGTCGACACCGAGAAAACTGCCAGCACCAGTGGCACAGAAGGCTTGGCCACCGCGAATCACCTGCCATCGAGCGTATTTTGAAGGAAATTTTGGCCAACGGAATCAAGGTAAGCGACTGTGGTTTAAGAAGCATTTGTGAAACTTGTTTGGAGGGTAAATCGGCACGAGCACCGTTCCCAGAAGTCGTCGAACGGAAGTCAACCTTATGCACATAATCGACGACTACAGTCGCTTCACCGTGACATACTTGCTCAAGCACAAATCTGAAGCTGCAGACAATATGAAAGATTATGTGCGTTGGGTGGAGAATGCATTCGGTCGCAAGCCTCGTTAGGTGCGCTCGGATGGAGGAGGCGAATTCGATAATCGGGATTTGCGGAAGTTTTACCGCAATTCACCACGCCATATTCTCCTCAGCAAAACGGTGTGGCTGAGCGCAAAAATCAATCCGAAATGGCTACCTGTATGCTGATTGACGCCGTATTAGACAAGCGTTACTGGGGAGAAACTGTGCTGACAGCCACGTATCTCCAAAACCGATTGCCCTCAAGATCCGTAGATAAGACTCCCTATGAGTTGTGGTGGGGACGAAAGCCTGAATTGGGACACTTGCGCGTGTTTGGCTGTGAGGCGTATGTGCACGTTCCTGCGTCAAAACGGGTAAAGATGGAGCAAAGCAAGAAGATTGGTGTTCGTCGAATACTCCATGCAGCATAAGGGGTACCGGTTCCTTGATCGAGAAACTGACTCGATAACTATCAGCAGAGACGCTCGTTTTCTGGAGTTAGGTAACGGGTCTTCGTGTGTGGAGATTCCTGCGTTTATCGAAAGGGATTTCGGATGTCAAAGAGCGGACCCGAAACAGGAGGAGCCAGAAATCGATTTGCCGAAACAAGAGGAGATATCTGATGATCGTGATCCGTTGAGTGACGGATCTGAGTGTGACGAGTTCTACGAAGTTCCTGAGGCAGAGGATCAAGACCAGGAAAGCACAAGGCGATCAACTCGTTCAACCCGTGGAGTGGTTCCACGACGCCTCGGGGATTATGTCTTGGACTGTGCAGTTGAGCAGGCATCCTGTGCTTTCGAAGAACCCAGTAGCTACAGAGAAGCTATGGAAGATGACCAATGGAGGAGGAGCTGCATGCCCATCAGCGCAGTGGAACTTGGGAACTCGTGCGCCCACCCGAAGGGCGGAAAATCATAGGGGCTAAATGGGTGTTCAAACTCAAGCGAAACGAGAAAGGTGAACCAGTGAAGCACAAAGCCAGGATAGTAGCGCAGGGCTACAACCAACGTGAAGGAGTCGACTTCAGCGCTGTTTACGCGCCACTAGGTATCACTACGTGCGTTTCTCGTTGTTGCCGCAAACAAGAATCTTTACGTTCACCATTTTGATGTCAAGACTGCCTACCTCCATGGATCGCTTGACGAGGAAATTTTTATGAGGCAGCCTCCGGGGTACGAGAAGATCGGTCAAAAGCAGTTGGTCTGTAGGTTGAAACGAAGCATCTATGGTCTTCGGCAATCGGCGAGTTGGAATCGGCGACTTAATGAAGTTCTTTCGAAGCTCGGATTTAAGGCGTCAACGGCTGATCCTTGCTTGTACGTGCGAGGAGGTGATTGCAAAGTGTATCTATTGGTCTACGTCGATGACCTTCTGGTTGCTTCATCATCGGAAGGGGAAATCTTGAAGATCTTCAATAGCCTGAACGTGGACCTCGATTTGACGTCTCTGGTATCTGTGCGACACTTCCTGGGACTCGAGGTAAAGCGGGAGCAAGGTGTTTTCAAGATTTGTCTACAGCAGTATATCGAGAAGCTCGTCAGTAATCATGGAATGAGTGATGCCAAGGGAGTAAGGTCACCTATGGATCCTGGATATCTCAAGTGCGTCGAAACTGGGGAAGTTCTGGAAGATGCCACACAATACCGGAGTCTAGTTGGAGGTCTCTTGTATCTTGCAGTAGTGGCCAGACCAGACATAGCAAACACAGCTGCTGTTCTTGGTAGAAAATGTTGTGGACCAACACAATGCGATTGGACTGCCGCAAAGAGAGTGCTCCGCTATCTGAAGCGGACCAGTACCTACTTTCTTGTAGCTGGTGGTAATCCAGGTCAACGGTTGAACGGGTACTCGGACGGTGATTGGGCCGGTGAGCCTGATAATCGGGAATCAACTTCGGGATCCGTATTCTTCTTTGGTGGATCGGCTATTTCGTGGGCAAGTCGAAAGCAAGCAAGCGTTACTCTATCGTCCATGGAAGCCGAATATGTAGCCTTGAGTGAAGCCTGCCAGGAAGCTATCTGGCTCAGGAAACTATTAAGTGATCTTGGAGAAGCCCAAACAGAGCCGACAGTGATTCGTGAAGACAATCAAGGGTACTTAGCCTTTGTGAAAAGCGAAAGGGTGAGTCGCAAGTCTAAGCACATCGACACCAGACAGAAGTTTGTCCAGGAGCTGTGCGTTAAGAAGGTCATCGATCTAGTATATTGCCCATCGGATTGCATGATAGCGGACGTCATGACGAAGCCATTAGGGCCTACGAAGCATACGAAGTTCTGTGAGGACCTTGGCCTGCAGCAATGAACTTGAAGCTACTGTCCATTGAGGAGGAGTGTGGAAATGCAATGCACATAGCTTCGCATTGGCGAACCCCCCGTACAATCTCTACATATGTTGTGAAGCTTGGCAGCCCTGGTGTAGAGAATATTATAACCACTCTGTTCATTACCGCTTTCAGACGCGTGCATTTTGTATTCTTTTATTTTACAAGTGAAATAAAACGTGTTCTTTCTTCTTTTGTACTCAATAAATTGTATATCGTGTTTTTTATCTTGCTTGTGCCGAATTTCCTGTCGTACGCTTGATCTGCTGCTCTCTACGCCTCCGTCCAGCTACCCGTGAAGGACGTGGATCACGATATCTTCTCCACACTAATTCGAGAAAGATCGTCGAAAAGCTGACCAAAATGACGGAACTCACCGATGGGTAAAAAATTTAAATGCTCCTTCATTCTACAATACATGGAACCGTGTATGATCCAATACCGATGAGAAAAAAATTGAGGAAAATTTGAGGTCGCAAGGTGTACACGCAGTTCGACGTATTAAGAATTATTATTTTTATTTATCTTTATTAGGGAGGCTTTCAGCCTTGGGCTCCAACGTATTAAGAAGCGAGTTAACGGCAAACTAGAATACTCCTCTACTGGTTATTTCATTCCATAAGTCGGTCTTACCAAAATATGTGTACTTCAGTATGGTGCGAATCGCAGTACGCCCATATTATCCATCACCTATGATATGCTTTAAATGCGGCGCTTACGGTCATCCTCACAAATTTTGCAAACAAACCAGCGTCTGCATGCGATGCTCTCAGCCCCTTCACTTGGCCGACGGTGAGCAGTGTGATAATCCACCTCACTGTTTCCATTGCAGAAACGGGCATTCAGTCATGTCACGTGACTGCCCAAAATACAAGGAAGAGGACAAAATTGTCCACATAAAGTCAATCAGTGTATTTCGTTTGCTGAAGCAAGACGCATATACGCTGAAGAAAACAAAAAGGAATAATTTTCTCGTATTATCCAAGACCAACTGAAGCAAGAACTAGCTGCCAAGGACCATCTGATAGCCAACCTACAGAAGCAAGTGAACGATTTAGCCAAGCAGGTTGCTTCATTAACTTAAGCGTTAAGATCTCGCACACATAGCCATTCCCCAGCTCCACAACCACCACGCACAACCATCCAACCCAAATCATCAACACAGAACCCATCTTCCACACCAATTCAGTTAGTTGCGTCATCACAAAAAAACCGATTCAAAAAACCGATCTGTCTAGAAAAGACAAAGCCTTCATCCCGCCACCAGCTAACTGGAAAGATAACCGGAGTAATGATCGTGACCAAGGAATACGAACTCGGATCAGAAGCGGAAAACTCCCTATTGAGATATATGAGCCTGACACGCTGAGCAGTACGATTAGTATGGACGAATGATGGACCAAGTACCTACCAAAAAATCAACATTGACCCTCCTTATGATTGACCCCGTGACAAAAATGGACATGAGAAAGGACGAACAACACCCATCAATTAGCACACTATATTAGTATATAACTCAGGACAACGTTTGAATACAACGCTCGATTCCAACAATCAACGAGAAATGCGGTTCGAAGGCGGGGAAAGTGTAGTACCCCCTTCACTTCCAAAAAAAGAAGCGAAGCTGGCAAGAGAGGGGGTCCGGGACGACTTACTCCAACCCGTTGATACCCAAACTTCCAGTTCGGCTGCCGTCGATTTGAAGCTGCAGCCTCTGCCTCAACAGTCTCCAACTCCGTCGCCTACGATAATTTCCGCAAAATCAACAATGAACCATCATCCAGCAGGACAACAGCAACTAGGACCCTCGATTCGCCAAACGCGAGGCCTTCCATGTCGACCCCGACCAGGGATGTTCCGGATTCTTCCGATGAGCCTCTGACGGCAGTCGACGTTGATTGCTGCCATCTCCGGGCAAGTATCCCTACGTATCCCAAGTAACAATTTTGGTTTTATGAGGGTTCTGTAGACAACGATTCAGACTTGTAGAATGCTATAAAACCTCTATAAAACTAGCAATGTTACTTGGGATGGTTCATCCAAAAAACAGTCAAATCCCAAACCCTTCTCCAACAACTCAGGTCACAACGGAAATTCCAAGCCACCTAAGCTTTTCCGCAAATACAATAGCACATCGTCATCCAGCAGGACATCAACTAGAACTCTCGACTCGCCAAGCGCGAGGCCTTCCATGTCGACCCCGACCAGGGATGTTGCGGGTTCTTCCGATGAGCCTCTGACGGCAGTCGATGTGGACTGCTCGCATCTCCGGGCAAGTACAATTACATATGGCTCACCTAAAAAGCAGTCAAATCCCAATTCCTTCTCCACCAATCCAGGTCCCAGTGAAAATGCCGTGCCACCTAAGCAAAACGGAGCCATCTGTATCGAAAACGACGAAACCTGCCCAAGCTCTTTCAGTCAGTCCTACGGACACCCTCGACGAGGGTCGGCAGTTCGTGTAGTAACATCCCCCCTCCCAACACTGGGAGTGGATGTTCGGGGAGACAGGAATGGAGTAAGCCACGAGTGCCTTGCATCTCTTCATTCCTCCCGGAAACCAGTCGAGTTGAACTACAACAGCAGCAACGCCCGGAAAGAAAAACAACGCAAGCCATCAAGCAGTCCAGTTCGACCAAAGTCACCGGCTGCACCATTCCCATCACCGCAATCTTTACCTCAAAAAGAGAACGCTTCCGTCGTCTTCCCTGTCCTCTGACGACACTGTGGTTTCCAACAACAAAGGACACAATATTCCACTCTCCTTTGCAATGCAGTGGAACACATGTGGCCTTCGTTCACACCAAAGTGAGCTGCAGATCCTGACCACGAAACATGAACCTGTCGTTATCTGCCTGCAAGAAACGAACGCTGATCATCACAGACTATCCACTGGATTCTTGGGAAATAGGTACCAGCTTCTAATACAAACCAACATCCAGGCAATTGCCGTTCAACAATACGCTCCGACTAAGATAACAGTCGTATCGGTCTATCTGCCACCTAAAGACAAAAACTCTGCAAGATTATTTCGTGAATTGCTGGATGAACTCCCGAAACCTGTATTGCACACCACACAGCTTGGGGTAGTAGGTTATGCCCATCAGTTTCAGAGGCGAGAAGAAGAGGTGAACAAATTTTAGATCTAGTGGTACAACACGACATGCTGGTGCTCAACGATGGTTCTCATACTCGGATAGATCCCACCACCGGGATCTCTCAAGCTCTCGACGTCTCCGTTTGTTTCACATCGATAGCTGCCAAATTCAACAGGACGATCCTAGCGGATTGCTCCGATAGTGACCATCTCCCACTTTTAATTGACATCTACGGTGTCTCAGATGAACCAGAGCATCGAGCAAGGCGGATCTACGATAAAGCTGACTGGGACCTGTATGAAAATCTCACTAGCAGAACTCTCCGTCCGGGATAACATCTGACGGTGGAAGAATTCTCATGCAGGATCATTTCGGTGGCAGAAGCTAGCATCCCAAAAACTACTGAAAAGAACGGACCGAAGGCTGTAGTATGGTGGAATACAGAGGTCAAAGCAGCAATAAAGGAAAGGCGTAAACAACTTCGTGCTCTTCGTCGGCTGAGCCCTGATGATCTACGAAAAATTATTGCATAGCTAGCCAAGTTTGGACCAACATTAATAGACTTAATGGTAAAAGAAAAAACAACACAATCACACTGAATCTTCCAACGGGCATGACCAACGACGGCCAAAAAGGAAATCATCTGATGCCAACTACCCTGAAAAATTCCAGAAGAAGCATATAGCAGACGATCGTACTTTCGTCAAAACCCAGCGTCCAAACCTACAAAAAACCCTACACTGATAAATTAAACTATTCCCACTTTGCCTGAAATTTAATCAATTTGACATTAAACTCAGTTTAATCATTTCGAAAGATTAAAAATGAATACTCTCTTTCTAAAAACTAAGCATTTGCTATTAATCCCAGCTTAATCATGGTTGATTAGATTGAAGATAATCTTTTTTGAATAAATTTTAATAATTTTTTATTCTATTTTAATAATTTTGGATTGAATTTTAATCTGTTTTGATTATATATCATTATTGAAAAAGAGTAATATTTAATAATGGAAAGATTATTTCGAATTTAATCATACATGACTACTTCCGTAATCATGGCTCAGACTCAATAAGGTGAAGCGGGAATCTGCATACTTTTTAAGCTTTTTTGATTTAATTTATCTTTGACTGTACTGCTACTGCTACTGCTACTGCTACTGCTACTGCTACTGCTACTGCTACTGCTACTGCTACTGCTACTGCTACTGCTACTGCTACTGCTACTGCTACTGCTACTGCTACTGCTACTGCTACTGCTACAATGAAACAATGAATGATGCGCAACCAAATGGTACTCGATTCTGACGACTGGGTTAGGGAAACTTTTTTTTTTTTTTTTCATTAATACAGTGATACAATTATCACTTTTAACTTGCACATTTTCAAAAGTTTTTCTATGAAGTATTGATTTCAGCAGATTTGGAGAGAAATTTCCTATCGGTTAGTGTATTTGGATTTAATTTTCATCTATCAATGACAAAGTTATAAGCGTTCAAAATCTAACACCTTTTCGTGACGGCGCACTTTTATTTTCACGATTTACCCCCTGTACCTTCACGTAGGACGTAGTCTACGTCAAAAGGGCGATAACTGGGCTTGTTGATTACTGGAGCAGGGCCAAATTTGAAATCAATTACGCTGTGTGGATCACATTCGATCATTTCAACCGTACTAGTTCTCTATTTTTGGAGTTTACAAAACTGCAATATTGATTATTCAGTTAAAGAGCTAATACATACTAACATCAGCATTTGCGGCAGCATATTCGTAACATAATTCCGTCCATTCAAATCTGATTCACCCTCCTTGATAAAGCGCATTATTCTCATCTAAGACAAACATCAAACGCTACATTACGATTGTGGAAAAATCTCAAGTGGA